GCTGGTTTCACTCTTTCTGCTTGTGTTGTCTACAGTCTCGCAGTATGACAGATATAAAACAAAAGGCACAGAAGAAAAAATGAGGAACAGCAAATTACAATACAATTATAATCAGAAGCTAAGGACGATAGAAGCACAGCACTGCAATATCCCCAACCTGCAGCCACTGCAGCTCTAGAGCCCTACTTCATTCCAAGATCATTTCAGCTGAAGATGGATAATGATGCTGACATTGCAGACCCGACTGGCACAACCAAATCAGTGATGTTGGAATATGTTATTCATCTCCTCAAAAAAGATAAACGTGGATTTGGAGAATCATTAGCATTCGTAGCTATTAAATGCTGTATTCTATCATCCTCCATTAGCCATAGAAATTTGCTCAGCTACTAAATTTGAACTAGCTGATTAAGAAAATAAATTGTGTTAATACGGAGCTCCTTTATGGTGTTTCACTGTCTTTGTGCGGTGCAGTGCGCTGCAATTGGTACATTAGTAGCAACTTAATACGTCACTGCACCTAAGTCAATACTGCAACAGGCTTCCCAGTGGGAATTTGTTTGATCAAGCATAAAAGCCCACCTCTAATGGATTGATTAAAAAGAAGCCTCATTTGCTGTAGCTAAAATTAGATCAATGTGTGGGTGAAGAACAGCATACAAACAGCACATAGCAAAACTTAAATCATATGTTATGTCTATTTGAAGGCTGAGGTAATTCACCACCAAAATCTCACTTTGCCATCTAATGATTGCTGACACACCTCCTACTGCTTCTGCTCTCACTCTTGGGAGCAGTAAAGGTCACACTATGAAGCCTGGTCTTACATCACACACACACACACACACNACACACACACACACACACACACACACACACACACACACACAGAGTCCTTAATAGATAAAACCTTTAAACAAACAAGGGATAAATAGAAAAAACTAACAGATTATACCTATTGTAAGCATGGCTGTGGGGCTTTCCTTCAATAAGAGGGATAAGAAATGACACACAGGTTGACAGAAATGTACTCTGAGAGGAGCAAATTGATTCTGGCAGGTCTTTGTTGTTCCTCTGCCTTAATGGAGCCTGGTCAGAGAGAGAATCAAGATTAACATTAAATGACACGTCCAATCTGTTTGAACTCCCTGAGTAAATACAGCATGAAATCATGGTTACGTGTGCTGTAGGTAGCACTTTGCTGTAGCGTCACCTGATGTACTAAATGACAGCATCAAAGGTCAAATATCTGGTGTTCAAACAGATGAAAGACTGGTTCACTTGAACCTGTTGCTACAGTCACAAACTCACAGGAGAGGAAATCAATTTACTTTAAAACCTTTTTATAAGAGGAAAAAAGTTGCCTTAAACGTACAATGTGTCACTTGGGGCCCTAGGGCTGATGCTGTGAAGCAGCACGGGAACATGAGAGTTGTTGTCTTCACCACCATTGCCGATGGAAATCACCCGGACACGACCTAAATCATGTTCACGGATGAGGTAATGTAATAAAGCTTTATTCACGTAATGAAAATGAATATTCACGCTCCGCTACAATTGACTTGGTTCAGTGTGTAGAATTTTGTGATATCTAGTGTTAAAACTGCACCCCTCACCTCACCCTTCCCTTAAAAACATGAAAGAGAACCTGTGGTAGCTTCAGTTGTCATAAAAACTCAAAAGGTGTTTAGTTTGTCCAGTCTGGACTAATGTAAAAAACATGGCGGCCTCCGTAGAGAGGACCCTCTGGATGTAAATATAAAGTATTTAAATATAAAGGGCCTTTTCTGGGGTAAAAAAACTACAATTTATACAATTTAGATGAAACAAACTAGTGAAAACATCATGAGGATTATTCTACATTAAACTTCACCTAAATCTTACACACTGGACCTTTAATACAAACAAAGAAAGGAAAAACCTGCCAAATGGCTAACTGAATAGCGGTGTGTTGCTCTCCTGGAGTACGTTAAGAAGAATTATCAAACATTGTCTCTGACAACAAAAGAGGCAATTATGACATGGATTTTCCTTATATCACCTGTAATTTGTTCAAGAGGTGTCATTTGTTTTTCAAATGGTAATGACTGAGAGTTGCGGGTTAAATTGCAAAACAACTCCACCTTTGTTTGTGTCCTTGAAAGTTATATCTAATTTATCTTTATCATCTATCTTTCCAGCTGGGGTGTAAAATGTGGAAGTAAATGTCATAACTATTATTAGTAGTAATGGTAGTAATTATTGGTGAGATTATCAAAACATGTTCTTACAAAATCTTCCATTTTTTATTAGTCATTGATTCTTTGAAATGAATTAAATGATTATAATTTTGTCATGAGAGACAAAAATGATGGTAGTGAATAATAATATATAATCCATCACTCAGCCTTTCACATGCAGTGGAGACAATTTGTTGAATAAGTCTCTGCGTGAAGCTGCAGACTAAGTATGATTAAGAAAGGATCCCCCTGAAGTCTCCACAGTTTTACTAAGTGGAAACCAAATTTATGGAATGGATTTTAGGAGATGCCTTCTTTCGTTCTCTTTCAGACAGACATGAACCCAAACATTATCATAAGTCATGTTTGGGTTCTGTTAAACGCAGCACGCAGGAAATGAATTTCAATATAAAAGCCTACTTTACAAATGCACACAAAGCTCATATGAATTAGGGAGATGTTATCTGCTGGCCCTAATTACAACAGACTGATTGAGATTAGATTATTCCGCACTCTCAACTGTGCTGTGAAGTTCCATTGAGAATTATTTGGCAGAAGTGGATAAAGCTACTCTGAAAGGTGCACGCTGTTTGTTCTCTTTAGCAACATTAACATTAAGCTAATAAATCATAAGAGGGGCAGTGACTCATAAAAAAACTAGTTTCTGTGAACTTATATGACAATTTCTACTCCTGTTACACATGTTCTGATAAAACTTTGGACTAAAATGTTGATACTATAGTTTAAATTGATGTATCACATCAATGTAAATCAAATGAGTTCTCAATTAATTATTTATAGGCATTTTTACAATTCTGTATAATTGATGTAAGATTAGAATTATTTTTGACAAATATTAATGAAACTGATGGAACCAGAAACCATTCTCTGTAAAAGAAAAAAAAAAAGCTCTGGGTTTAAGTTGTCAAGAAGAGATATTTTCCACATCTAGTCAAAAAATAGTCAAAACTGCCTCCTGCACGACAAAACATGACAGTCGTCACAGACGTATTTTGTCCTGAGCTGACACAGTGCTTAACTGGGCCAGGCGGATGCAGATATACAGCTCCTTCAGTGAGGATGCAGACACATGCAACTCATCACGCAGGAAAACACGGTCATGAGGTATAAATTAAATGCTCAGTGAGGTTCCTGAAAGCAGCGCTTCCGCTTAACAAATGTAATAACTGACTGAGAGAGACAGCCAGTCAGTGAACAAAGGCTCCACGAGGTAGCACTTTGTCTGTGAGCCGTCACTGCAGCATGCCTGCTGAGGTGTCAAACACAATGGAGAGATTCCATGTCTCTTCTATCATCTGCCAATCCCCTTCAGATAACAGTGAAAGATAACAAGACCAGACCCGACCAATTCATGGGTTCACACTGGTGAAGGACATCAGCACTAAGCCTCTGGAAAAGTGGCTCAACCCTGTAGTTTGACAAGCGTGTATCTCAATTTAAGACAGAGACACAGACTTTCCACTCTTAGCTGTGGCTTTTGGTGAAATCAACGTCCCTTCTGGTCACAGTTTGGAAAAAGCAAAAATCACTTTTTTGTGGACAGGAAGACTAAGCAAACACCAAACTTAAAAACGGGTAAACACCGTCCACAGACAGAGCCTTTTAACGACTGAATGTTGAATCAGCTATAAATACGCCGCTATGTTATAATTGTTTTCCTCTGCCATCTAAACCAATGAGCCTCGAGGTCCACTGCGGTACAGTGACGGACCACATCACTGGGAAAATGCACTGTACCTCAGAGCCTGGGCGAACTGCCTGTTGAATGCAGAACAGCGTCAGCCAAAACACACAGAACCGAGTTGGTGTGCTGCTCTGCCTGCAGCACAATGCGAGCGTGTGTGCTTTCTGGTAACAGCTATGGCAATATTTGAGAATGTAATTGTAAATCACAATGTTGAGACGAATGTAAATCATTACAGCTGCGAAGTGTGGGGGTGGGGGGGTGAAAACCGTTCAGGTGCTGCTGGAGTTATGAATGAAATATTTACTCCCAGTCTGACTGCAAGTATAGTGCCTTTGGTTCAGGATGCAGTTCATGCATGAGAGCTGTGAAACAATCCGTAGTAAATACAATGTGCTGCCTAAGACAGGAACTAGGTTGCAGGCGCTGCTTCACACAAACGCTGTGTTGTTGTATTGCAACTCCGGGAAGATGCATTTAATGGGACGAGGCCAACAAACAGCAGCTCATTGTCTGGAGCCTTGTGAACCTGTTCCGTCCAGTGATGACACTGTCAATACGTGAGTCAATACACAACGACCGTTTCTCCTGCAATTATAGCTCTCACACACGCATACAACTGATTTGTGATTCAGCCAATGTCTACTGGCAATTTAACCAATTCCTGAAGAAGTGTGACATGCATCGTAGACACAGTATGAGGAGCGGAGGAGAGGTGAGTGTAAAGATTTAGGTTTCCACCTTTCTACTCATATCTTCTAAGTTGCTTGTGACTTTTAAACATTTAAGCCACCCAATGATCTTCAAATAACCCAAACAGACAACAATGATCATAATATATAAATCGTTGTATTGTAAATCAATTGACACAATCAATTGATTAAAAATCCTGGTGTTGGTGTTGTCCACATCATTGATGCACAAACTGTCACGTGAGCTCCTGTCATAACAGCAGCTCTTCTGTCAATAAGTCTGTGGACCTGCAGATTCCATATAAGTGCAACATCAATCATATCATAGTGATTTTTACGCACACACAAAAAAAAACATGATCGCATCTTAAGAAATGGACTTACCAGACAAAAACTGCTGAGAAGTGAGATGAGGAGAAAGTCCAGATTGCGGAGCAGCACAGCGGATCCCATCCCTGACCCTGAGGCGGCTCTACCTCGCAGGGGGCTCGAACGGTCGCTGGTGATGCTCAGATGAAACGACTCTAATTTCTCTGGCTCTCCTGGAGGTCGAGACAGTTGTGTTTCTTCACTCCATCTGGCCGCGCGACGCTTATGGCGGCTTGTGAAACCATAACTCTGTAATCGCCCCTCTCTGCCCTCGCTTTAATTTCCTATAATCTACTATATGCTCGGCTCAGGCGCAGCGCCGCTCACTTTATTTCTCTGCATCTGTCTCTTTTTTTTTTCCTCTTCTGAAATTACATCCACATGTCAGAACTATTTATGTCGCTCTCGCTCTGCGGTGGGAAGTTCAAATGAGTCTTTGTAGGGGAAGAAACCAACGCTGTATTTTTAGGTCTTTTAAATTTCCCCTCAGACTAACTTAAACACTTCAGCATGGAGCCATGCGCCCTTATGGCTTATTCCAGTCCTCCCTTCCAGAAAATGTTAGATCAGTGTTTTGGGACAGAAATAAGCCCGGGATGTGTCACTCCATCACCGGTCTGCTGTTGAATTTTGCACAATTTGATTCCCTGTGACTCATGTCAGCATCTACACAGAAACGTGCTGGAGGCAGCAGAGCAGCGGGGTCTCAGACAGGGTTTACTTTCAGCATTTGGCAGCAAATAACAGTATTGTGACAAAGCAGAGGTGCTATTATTTACTTCTCATAGGTTTGGCTACTCGTGAATAAACTCAAGTCTTTGCACTACAAAGCTGCAATTCACTTTACGCACCGCACACTGCCCCACGCGTTCTCATTTTACGCACGTCGCTCTCTGAAAACATTACGCGTAAAAGTGCCATTTATGTTATTTCCCGAAATCTATCGCGGCGATCACGCAGCTACTGAATGTATGAAAACTCCCCAAAACGGGCTCAGTTTTCTCAAAGAGGAGAGAGGAAACGCCAACTCGGCTTCAAGAATCTCTACTTACTATGGAGAGACCCTGACGGACAGACAACTCGCACATGCCTCAGTGTTTCTGCGCAGAGCCAAAGGGCGAAAAGAAGTAGAAGTTTGTCGTGTAGGGAAGCGTCTCCAGATGTGGCAGCCTGCAGGTCGTGTTCACTAGTGAGTATGTGGATGGAAAAGAGGGGGGGGGGCGGAGAGGAGGCAGGTATAGGGTGGAGCGTAGAGGGCTCTCATTGGTGCGCGCTCTCTTACGTTGGAATAAACCACGACTCCGAAGTGACATATTTTCTCACCCTTCAAACAAACTCTACATTCAACAGATCGCGGGGCCTTCGCCAAACCACTTTTTTTCCCTGCAGTTGCTCAAAAGTTGCATCTAGTGGGATTGGATTACCAAGACATAATGCGGAGGATGTTCTTTTTAAAAACCTCTGCTTCACTGTAATTTATGTTTAAAAGACATTTCCCTCACAGCTTTTAAACTTTGTGTCTGTGTTTGGAAATTAAACACTGGATCATTTGGCACACGGAAATGAATGTAGCAGCAAAAACAACATGAAAAAAGGTTTTTTACCTGTTTATTTACTGTTATATAATTAATAATAATAACGATAATAGCAAAATTATTAATTTTATTCTTCCAAAATGCATTCATCTTTTCCACCAATGTCATCACAACAATAGCTATAATATATATAGTTATAGTTATAGTTATAGTTATTTTTGTTGGATGTCAGTGTGTGTGTGTGATTTGAAAGGAGGGATGTTGACTGCACAACATCAATCAGATAATTCCACTACATCCTTCAATTTAGTTAAAAAAAATCCACTTTACAGTTTTCATAAAATGTGAAGAATGGAGAAAAACACCCATTTTTAGGTTATCGTGAGTCATGTTCATTTTGTTTGTTCCATGGCAGAGTGTGTGGATCATCTCCGTGCAAAATCTGCCCTCTCTGTTTCTGAAGCTCAGTCACTCTGACGTCCTTCTCAGGGCCGACTCAAATGTGAAGATGTGTTTTCTCAAAAGAGAACATGTCAATCCTGCAGGTTATGATCCCACTCAAAGCATTGCACATCAGCGGTGTTGTTCGTTCTAGCAGCTACTCTAATAGCTGAGAATACAATAAAACAACAGGCTTTTTTTTTTTTGTGCGGTCTCAGTAGTGAACAAGCACTTTACTGTGGCACTGTGAGTGTAATGAGCTATTTAGACCAAGCAGTTATGACAAAAAATAATGTGTCATTCAGGACTCACCTCATGGGCTCTACTGTTAATGGTGCTCAGAAGCTTTCACTGCTGACATGTAATGATGGACTGCTGATGTGCTCTGAGGCATCATATGAATTATCCAACGGAAAGAATAATGCTCCAGCATCCAAGTCATTTCACAGCCATATGTTACTGCCACACAGAGTGGAGACTCCTCCAAAGTGATATTTATTCTCATGTGGAAGCTCGTGTTGTTGACAGTATCGCTATATAACAAGACAATATCAAATTTTAACTTCCCTATACAGTACCCGCATTTTATGTGCAATTACACAGGAGGATGCACATGTAGCTGTTTCCACTGATGTACAGTATATTTTTATACCTCAACCAAGAAGGTTGTGTTTTCATTGCATTTTGTCTGTTTTTGCATGATTACTACAAAACTGATTTTCTTGAACATCGGTGGAAGGGTGGAGGATGGAACCCAGGAACTTTTGAAACAGATTCGGTTAAAGGGGGCATTGTGAGTTTCTCAACAAAAAAATGCCGAGATCTTCATGAAAAACTAATATCTATGAACAGGTGGAATTGCAAGAAGTTCACAGAAAATGTCTTACATGGTTTATGTATCTGATCTCAACACATCTACAAGCAATGTGATGATAAAGTGGGCAATTATTCTAAGCGGAGGTGTGCGCTCTTTAAGTGCCCTTCTAATCGTTCAAGTGCAGTTTCCATTTTAAACCTGCTTATTTTAAATGGGCTGTTTGCTTGGGCCTGTGGTGATGCTGGTTGCTGTTTTTCTTTCTGAAACTGTAAAAGTGAGAGAGAACCCTGAAGCTTCACCACCTATGCTGCACAAAGAGCCCTCACCTGTTCATTCAAAGTTCAGTGAAGAGCGACTCAGCACGTAGAACCCCAACCTTGAAGATCTGTTGTTGTGAACACGCTGTCGTGATTGACAATGTCCCTTACGTTGAGAGTACTTGATACTGGGCTCTTAACAGGACATGTTCTGAGTGTGAAGCCAATAAAGTAAACGGTTCTCAAATATGTGAGTCAGATACTTAGATTTCTGAAATAAGTAGTTTCATAGATACATAATCCACATAAAGACTCTAACATAAAAAATGTGTGCATAGTGCAAAAACAACATTGTGAAACAGTAAAACTTGCCAATAGTTTGACCAAGTTTATTCTGGATCTTCTGTCAGTTCCATGTTTTTCTGGAGGCTTTAACAACAGCTCACGGTCTCAGCCTCCGCACACAGACTGGATTCTGCTCAAGGATCCTTTTTTTATGTTATTGTTATTCAATTCAAAACAAATCCCACAAATACACCAAAACCAACAATGTGTTAGTTTGTCTCCCAATGACGTCTGAACATCGCCCTACTCTCTGTGGTAGTCAGCCCTGATCCCATTACTGAAGACATAAATCTCTGAAAATGGGTCATGAGTGTAATTCAGCAACTTTATGTAAAATAAAAATGGTAAATTGTTGCCTCTGTAGTAAACAATAATTAAATATGAGTCAGGGACTGTGTATGTGATATTGACTCAAACTAAACTAGAGATGATTAATCGTTGTTTTTTCAGGTGAGAATTATCGTTGTGGAGTTAGATAACATACATTCTTTCAACTAATGTACTAAAAAAAAAGAAATAAATCAATCACTTATTTTAGAGCTTTTCAAGGCAGACACAAAAAGGAAATATAACTATTTTTTTCTACTTTAATAATACATAAGCAACCTTCAATTCCAGTGTGACAGCAGCACTTCCCTCCTCAACTTGTCTGAAACAATCTTCTCAAAAAAGGTGATTTATTTTAGTTTTCTTTCCACTTCTCTTTTTTTCCTTTCTTCTTTAAATCTATGTCCTTGTCTTTCCGAAGTCATGGTGCCACTGTCACAACATCCTCGACCTTAAAAAGTGCAGGGGTTCCGTCTCATCAGGAGCAGGTTATTCCCGGAGCGAGAGATAATGAACAATATGAAAGCTGTCATTACATGTGATAATATATTTGTTCATGTGCCGTACAGAAAATTGCACCCCGCCGTGTCTCAACAGGAAACTCCAAATACAGTAAGCTGCAAAAGATTACCCGGGGAAGACTGCGTGCATGGCATATGCTTAATCTCCACTCCATTTCCAATCTGTCAGGTTTTTCCTCCCTCTCTTTGAAAAAAAAGGAAAAAAAATCAGGACAAGCTTTTCTTCTCAGAAATTTTCTCTGAAAAGTTAAATTCAGATCCACCTTTACTGCCACTATTCCTGATAATGGTATTCATCCCTGTAGGGAACCATTTTGCACAGTGGCCCCGTCATCCTGCCTCCACTACCATTTTCTTTACAGAAACACGTCTGATCCTTGACATACATCTGGAATTATTAATGCTTCGGCTGTAAGGTGCCCAAACTGCTTGGTGAACACCATTTGTGCCTGGTGACAAAACAGATGAGAGCATAAGAACGAAGAGTCAGCATGTTCAGGGGTTCATTCAGGAGTCATTGGTGCCAGACAAGTAAATTAAATGATGATGTGAATTTCTCAGGAGATCTTGATGCCACTGCGGCATCAGCTTATTCATTAGTAAGTCAGTTTGTTGATGCTTTCTTTGCTTATATCAGTTGAATGATAGGTGTCTAATGTCGGTGTCTGTGGGAACACGGTTAAAGAAGAGAACTTCACAGGATTCAGGTTCATGCCCTTGATACTTAGAAAGAATTTATCGAATGTATATAGCCCAGTGCAGTGGCTTACCACTGTGTATGGGCGTGTGAATTTAAAGGGAATGTTGGCCCTCTGCGGAGGTATGCTCTCTTACTGAATGCCACTCTTTTTAATTATTGACACCTTTAAATATCAGAGACTTTTTCTTATCAGAAGTTACACTTTGACTGAAAAGCATCAATGTGTCCTAAATATCTAGGAGAACCTAAGAATGGGGACAGTGAAACTCTATATCTGTTTGACGCATTCCTTGAAAGTCTGTAAAAACCCACATGAAAATTCAAAGCACATGTATGTTTTAGACACATGATGGTTCACATGTGTGATCACTTTTTGGTCAGTTCTGTACTATACTTATGGTTTCATGTAGCGTTCAGCACATTACCTCAGATGTGACGATTTCCATTTATACTTTATCTTTTCCATGTGAACATGTTTTCATGTTTCCACCCACATTCACCTCTTTGGGAGACCTTGTCAAATACATGTGCATATTTCATTTGCATGTGAAAGCTTCACATCCCATCACCACCACCAGCAAGTCCTGAAAAAAACACGTGGAATTGCAATCACTTCTCCTTCTGTGCTTCATTTTTAATCATTTCCATTTACTGTATGACTTGATAACATCACACACACAAACAATCCTTCCAGTGCTCGTCTCAGAACAAGGCCCCCACAGGAAGTTATTTCCAGCTGGATCGTGGTCAATTCATCTTCTCTTAGGCAGTACTCTTTGTTTTGACAGCCCACCCACTCAGGTCTCCCGAAGGTATACCCCAGAAATAGAGTTAAGGGACACATCCGGTCAAAGAAACTACGTCGCTGACACCAAGAACACGGGTCACACATGGACTCTTGTGAGGTGGAAGTCCTTATGATCACAAACATCAATCATCCACCTTGATGCCATTAGCTACTGATGCCACTGTTCAAACACATGACTCAGACAGATAAGGCAGCTTGATGTAGCTAATGACTTTTACTGACCTCCACATCCCCATGACATCAACAGGTCTGTGACACACTGTGCTGTGACACGTAAAGACACCGCAAACTTGTTTTTTTTCCTACAAAGGGTTTGAAAAAAAAGCTGCTTGCACAGTTTAAAGTCTATCTTGGAAAAATCCATCTCACCACAACATGCCACTAAAGTGATATGGAGCTTTTGAACTTTAGAGAGACTCACTATCAGTGCAGTATAAACCATAAACACAGTGAACTGACACGAATTTTAGGAAACGTCAATGATCGTTACATCACCAGCAGAATAATCACATCCCACTGCTCAGACAAACTGGTGAAAGCAAAAGGGAGCATGTCGCTATGGTGAAAAAAAAAACCATTGTTTACATTGGAAGCTTTAAAATCCTCACAGTTGAACTTTGCACCATTACCCTGAACATATAGATCTGTGTAGAAAACAAACATGACAGAGCAGACGATCTTCTGTTTCACCGATCAATGACAAATCACAGCACTGGGGCTTAAAGTGTAGAGCAGCTGTTTGTAACTCTAATGTGGTCTCTGCACTGTGCACCGAGATCATGACCCAGAATGCAATTTTAAAATAAACGAGCACTTGTCACTGACTGGTCAGTCCACAGAGGACATTGGAGTGACTTGGGAGTTTGCAGTGTCGCTTCGCAAGCAAGGACATTCTAATGCACAGTGACTACTGTGTGCCGGAGGATGGCTGACCACTGACCTGCTGAGTCAAAGTTAGAAAATAAAGATCAATACGTATAATGAATCTCAATAAGTATTGTCTTTCTTCTCATCCACTCAATAAAGAAGTAAGCTGTGCGGCAGGGGACAGGCAGATAATAACAGAGGCGAGGGAGGATGGGGTTATAATGAAATGAACACGATAAGTCATCTACCCAATGTGAGGATACTTTAATCCAAGGTTATTTCCAGAGCCACAAATCACTCTGTTCCTCTGTGTAAATCCGTGATTAAGAGAAGTAAAAACATTCATGGTGAAACTAGGGAATAGATGAAAACAGGGACAAGTAGAAATATTCACTTCCAGCTAGTTCCATTGTGACCAAAAGAGGGCGCTGTGGCTCAGCTGCCGGGTTAGCTGCTGGTGTTTGACAGAACAGAAGTTGTCAGCTTATAAATTGGGCCTGTGGGCTGACATCCTGCCCTTGAATAAATAATACTTCTTCCTCTGTTTGTCTAATCTTTGATGCACCAACTCTCTGTCTGAAGATAGCGGCTGATGTTAGAGCTGGTTAATTGCTTGTGAAAGAATGGAACCAGGAATCGTTAAATCTAGGACTCAAAAGTTTGAATTGCATGTTG